AAATATGGACCAACACCAAATGCTCTGATACCACTGTTGGGTATCAGAATAACATGAAATAATTATAACACAACTAAAATATAAGATAATAGTATAGAAATGAGAAGAAACACAATTGAATGATGCATAAACAACAATATGGGTTCTCTATATATAAGAGACTCGTGTACTAAAATAAGTTGATACATATTTAATAACTTATAATTAATCTTCTCTTTATCATAGAAATCAATGATTTCTAATGCATTGACATTTTCTATAAAAACAAATGACTTTATATTCTCACAAATTATACCTAAAAATTGGTTTTAAAAATAACGGAAAATCGACCTTCCTTTCATTGGAGATTCATTTGTTTCTTGTTGATGAGATAGTGCAATAGAACTTAAAGAAATGAATTATGAAACTGCAAGATAAAATAGTTAGAAAATGATCAATTCACATATAGAATTAGTTCAAAGTATTTACAATATATACAAACTAGATAATGTAGCTGCTACATCGAAATTTGCCAGTATTTGAATATACACTCGATTAGGGGTATTTGCGGTGCGGTTTGAATGGTTTTGATTCAAAAAATAACTCAAATTATAAGAGAGAAAAACGTGCAGTTCCGTTTGGTTCGATTGCCTTTTAAAAACCAAACCAAACCAAACCAAACCAAACTAATGCGGTTTTGATTGATTCGGTTGGTTCGATTTTTTACAAAAAAATTATTGAGTCATACATGCACATATAGAGAAAAATATAATTTTGTGTTTAATTGTTCATACATTATTATAAAAAAAATTATAATTGTCAAAATAAATTTATAATTTGATACATAAAATTAGGTATTATAATTTTATCTAAATTTAAAGAATGATATACATAAGATTGTATTTTTAAATAAATATTATATAAAAAATACGATAAAATATATTTTATGAAAATAATATTTATAAATAAATAATATTTCATTTTTTATGATTCATAAATTAAAATAAATATCATGAAAAGAATATGATAAAATATACACATAATACATGTTGATTTATCTAAAGAACTAAAAAAAATATATATTGGTTAGTAAAAATTAATAACATAATGCGGTTTGGTTTGGTTCGGTTCAGTTTGCAAAATACAAATCGCAAACTAAACCGAATTGCGCAGTTCCGTTAGAAAATGATTAAAATACATCCGAACCAAATGCGGTTATTTGTAGTTTCAATTTGATTTGGTTCGATTTTGCGATTTTTTATTAGACTGATTTGGTTTTAAACACTCCTATACCGGATCAAAGAAAACGTAAGAACAATTTCTTTTTATCGAGGGTGTACTTCAGTAATGGATACATCATTTACAGACCATGGAATTGATCCAGTGGTAGACTGATCAGAATTAAACCCTTGCTTCATTCTGTCGGGTGCTCCTCCACGAAAGAAAGACGGTGGCTGTCGAGGTAATGACAGCGTAACTGAATAACTGTTGAGCATAAGTGCAACAGTCTCCATGGAAGGTCTATCATGTGGACTTTCCTGAATACACAATAAACCGATATGGATGCATCTCATAACTTCGTTTCTTGAATAAGAATCGCGCAGCATTGGATCAATTAACTCCGAAGGTGTTTGCTCGGACCATTTTTTCCAAGCCTATGGTATAATACATAAGTTAAGCTAGTGTTGCAGCAAAAGAGCATAGGAAAAAAATGACACTTTTTTATACTCACGTAGCTTAAGAGGTCATCAGCATCATTCCATTGATTTAAATCGGTATTCTTCTTGCCACTCACAATTTCCAAAACTAAGACACCGAAACTGAACACATCTGACTTCATAGAAAATTGTCCACGCATTGCATATTCTGGAGACATGTAACCGCTGGAAGACGACGTTATAAATTTATAATCCACATATTCAAGAAACAATGTTAACGTTTTCACACATAATTATACCAGCTGGTAAATAATAATGTAAACTCTCATATATGCAAATGATGATGACAAAAAGATTTGAAACTTACTAAGTTCCCACTATCCGTCCGGTATTTACTTGAGTCTGATCTCCTTGGAAAATTCTTGCCATCCCAAAATCTGAAATCTTTGGATTCATATTTTCATCTAATAGAACATTGCTAGCTTTGAGATCACGATGAATAATTCTAAGCTGGGAGTCTTCATGGAGATAAAGAACCCCTCGAGCAATGCCAACTATAATCTTGTAGCGTTTTGACCAATCTAACTCCCTTTGCTTAGCAGGATCTACAATATCATGTAAAAATAGAAGATCAAGATTAACAACAGTAGGCAGGCACACTAAAATTTCCATAAGGAAAAAGGTAACGCCATACCGAATAGAAAGTGATCAAGGCTCTTATTTGGTATGTATTCATAGACAAGAATCTTCTCCCTTCCCTCCAAACAAAATCCAAACATCCTCACTAAATTTCTATGTTGAAGCTTTGCCACAAGGGAAGCTTCATTTTTGAACTCAATTGCACCCTGCAAGGAGGTTACCGACAACCTCTTCACAGCTATCTCATGTCCGTCGGGAAGAATACCCTAAACAAAAACATGATCGGATCAAACTCGGAGTTAGCATATCAAAAACATGATCGGATACGTTAAATAACTAATCTCTTACCTTATAAACCACACCAGAGTTCGGACTATAACAGTTTACTCAAATTTAACATAGAAAAAAATGTTTCAACCATTTCACGCCAGCAAATTTCTTACCTTATAAACCACACCGAACCCACCTTGGCCAATCTTGTTCTCATAGGAGAAACAATTTGTGACAGCTTCAATTGTGGCAAAGTCAAATTGCAAACACTCTATATCAGTAAGATCCTCCCTCCGAACTACAAAGACAGTAAAATACAATATTCATCTTCAATCAAATTACAATAAACTAAACCAGCGAAACAAATTAACCAAACAAAAAATGTAAAATTACTCGAAGATGAACCCTGGATAAATGTACTATTATACTCATACTTCTTCCTCGCCCTCTTACGCAGGAAATAGCAGCAAAAAATCAGAAGTCCCACAGCCACAACAATTGCAACAACAATCCCAATAATCATAGCGACATTGCTCTTTCCTACACAAGTTCATCACTTTAAGACACCCCAGAAACAAATTTAAAACCACGTTAACAATATATAGATACCTGAAGAAGGAGGAGGAAGTTTTGGCTGAGTAGAAACAGCAGAAACGTTGTAAAAAGAGTAAAATTCATATCGAATATTACAACTCGGAAGAAGTGATCTTGCACCTTTTTTCCTATCACAACAATTTCCAATAGAACTAATAGCACCTTGTAAACAAGTGTTACAGTCAAAAGTAGATAAATCTGGTGTACACTGCGCCAAAGAATATACCTTCATAGAAGCCAAGAAACTTTCTTCTTTTGCAGCAAATTTCTGACCCGAAGGAGAATTCACAGCTTCATATGCTAAACCCTTCAAAAGGTTAGCAAGGAAATCACTGAATTGAGAGACTTCTGAATCAGGAACACTCTTATCAGATGCCAAGGTGACTGCAGGAACTATATGATTCAAGAAGGAATCATTGGAGTAACGCAACAAGCATTCATCGTACCAGACGATAGATTCTGTCTGATTGTTACACAAATTCGTGATGTTAGTAGCTGCTGCTGTTACACAGCGTTGACATAGGGAGGGAGTGATGTCTGCGCGGCAGAGGAAGAGTCCTTTTAAGTCGTTGGGGGAATTGAAGAGAGGGATGTGGACGGTGTAGAAACCGTTGTGGAGGGTGGAGTTTGAGATGAGGGAAGAGAGAAGAGTTTTTAAAGCGGTTTGGAAAATTGAGTTTGGTTTGTAATATGAAGTGTCTGTGCAGGCGTGGTAGTTGTATATTGGAGAAGCTTCAAATGGAAATGGAAGTGAAGATAACAAGGATGCAAGTAGAATCAATTGGCTTGTTGTGGTTGTTGATGATTTGAAGATATGCATCTCTGGTTCTGTTTGTGTATGTTTGTTTTGTATGAAGTTTATGACTACAACAGAACCTACTTGAAGATCAAATAAGGTAGGAGAGTCAAACACTCGTTTACCTGTCATTGGTTGGGAACATCACTCTTTGAAGAAAAAAATAGTTAAAGGTAAATACTTGTGATTACGTTCAAGTTATTCCTTTTTTTTCTTCAAATTATTATCGATATCAACGTGTCAGTATCGGTGTTGTGTCTGATGTTCGTGTATGTGTTTGTAATTTGTAGTCATTCACAGGTGAATATTGTTTGAGACATCCCACAATTCTCAAAGGGTAAAGGACCAATACAGATTTTTCACGGAAGATTTCGCACATACGTGGAAACCCTACCGACTGTCCAGATCAATATGAAAGCTGATTGCGATCCACGGCTAACTACACTATTACAGTTTTGAACTGCTTCTTCTATTTAAGAAGGAAAAAAGCACAATTTCTCTAGTATTCAAATCTCATTTCACACATCACTTTTCACTCTCATGTTGATTTGAACATTAGAGTGCTAATTTTGCTCTACATCCTCGTTTACCGATCAACTCTGATTCCATTACGGAACAAATACCAAGGTACTTTAAAATACTCAAATTTGACGGCTTGAAAATGGTAGATTGAGATATTAACATAGCAGGAACATACTTGATTACATCAGCTAGTACTAACAAAACACAAACTTTCCAAACTCCCTTTTGTTAGTTTGTTTGTTTTATTTTGGATTGATAAGTAACTGAGGTTTCATATTTTCCAACAAATTTCCTTTTGTTTGTTCCAGATTCCAAAGAAATTTAGTGGCAATAGTCTTTTATAAATATTGTGTCATTATTCTTGAGTTTCAGAAACCTTATATCTTACAATATGCTGTGTTTCTGCTGCAACTAGAGGAGCGACACTATGACAGATAAGTGTTATTATTTCCACATTGAAAAATAAGCCAATACACAATATAAAAAATTTACAAGGTTTTGAACTAATTACAAACACGCATCTGGTTGACAGACTATGGTATTCAATTGGTATTATCAGATTGACTAATCTGTATTGTTGGCATGTGCGGACCAGCGCCACTCTGTAGAAAAAATGCAGGCTGCTTCGCTACCGGTAAAGTAACAGTGTGGCTATCTAGCATGAGCACTATTGTTGCCATTGTAGGTCTATCGTCCGGATCTTCTTGCACACATAATAAACCAATATGGATGCATCTTATAGCTTCATTTGGAGTATAGGATTCTCTTATTGTGTGATCGACCAATTCCAAAGGTGTTCCATTCTTCCAAAGTTTCCATGCCTGTCTCAAATTTTCATCAAGCATTTGTTATATTTGGATCACTATGCAGTAAGAAAGAATAATTATAAGAAGCACAAATTTACACTTTTCTCTACTTACATAGGAAATTAAATCCTCGGCAACACCTGTTTCATAGAAAGAGCTGTTCTTCTTGCCACTTATAATCTCCATAACGAGGACTCCAAAACTGTATATATCAGACTTAATAGAGAAATCTCCATGCATTGCATACTCCGGAGACATGTAACCACTAAAACACATTTTATCATCAATAGAAAACACTTAGTATTGGGAACAGGACATAGAAGCCGGGATGAATGACAATGCTTGATTCAAATTTCTATGCATGAATTGAACTATATTTATGTTTTTGTATTGTTTGAATTATTTATAAGTATTTTCATAAGTATTTCTATGCATACATATATATATATATATATATATATATATATATATATATATATATATATATATATATATATATATATATATATACTGGAAGAATGATAATGTAAACTTGTACTTACTATGTCCCTACAATCCTGCTGGTATTTCCTTGAGTTTGATCCACTCCAAATAATTTTGCCATACCAAAATCGGAGATTTTTGGATTCATATCTTTATCCAACAATATGTTGCTAGCTTTGAGATCCCGATGAATTATTTTAAGCCTTGAATCTTCATGAAGATATTGAATGCCTCGAGCGATCCCTCCAATAATCTTGTAACGCCTTGTCCAATCCAATAGCCTTTGTTTTTCAGGATCTGCACAAATATGTTATTTATAAGATTTCCTCAAATTTTGTATTATTAGATAATGATATTGATAAACACTAGCAAACAAAAATCACTGCATGCATATAAACTGTCAACTATAAAGAATTCAGATAAGATGAGCCTACCAAAAAGAATATAGTCAAGACTTTTGTTGGCTACAAATTCATAAACAAGTATCTTTTCATCTCTTTCCAAGCAAAATCCCAGAAGCCTAGCTAAATTTCTATGTTGAAGTTGTGCAACCAGTTCAACTTCATTCTTAAATTGTTCTCCGCCTTGTCCCGAGTGTTTAGAGAGTCTCTTGACAGCTATTTCTTGTCCGCTCGGAAGCACGCCCTGAATTTTAACAAAAATTAAATGGCATATAATACAACAATTGGAATAATTTCCATGTCTTAAAGAATCAAACGCATGTTAATTTCATACCTTGTAAACCTCGCCAAATCCACCTTCACCTAGCTTATTAGCTTCTGAGAATTTGTTTGTGGATTCTTCAAGTGTACTCAAATCAAATCTCAAAGATTCCACAGTGGTAATATCGGTTTCAGCTAATAACCAAAAAAGGTAAGTCTATCAGATAAAATTATAACAGCAAAATCATGCAAATAAGAAACAAATTCGGAGTAAGATCTTCTTTTCAATTAACTCACACCCTTACTTTTCAGATCCTGTGCTGCAGCAGAGTCATGCTTCTTCTTCCGCCCTCTTATGCATAAGAAACAAATTCCTACAATAAATAGCAGTGCCACCACTGTAATTGGAACCACAATTGCAACAATTGTACCTGATGAGATCCCACTACTTCCTGCATAATTCCAAAATGAAGTAATTTAATTACAAATGCTGGTTGTTATAGACAGCAGCAGTTCAAAGATATGTTTCTATAAAAGATATGGTTTCTAGGCGATGTGGGACTTAGCCACTCATACTTAAATCCTAATAATCTCCCTTACAAATGTGAGTTACCCAACATCACTAGCCTTGATCCATCCACTTCCGCTCCCCCACCGACTCTAACCATGGCTCTGTCAATGGACTAAGTGTTCAGGATTCAAGAGACATTGACACACATATGTTGGGGAGTCTGAGGAGCACTAGAAGTTTCAATAGGTTAAACGTTCACGATCCAATAGACCTTGACACCACGTATCCACCCAAAGTCTTAAGGCAATAGGGGTATGAGTCACCTATCTTATATACCCAATATTTCCTCATTTTTAGTCAATACACGACTTAGCCACTCACACTTGAATCCCAACAAGTTCTAGTGTAAGTCTTGTTTCTCTTGATTTAATGTTATACAAGTGTACCATACTTGAAAGCATGAAATCTTTAACTAAGCCTTATTTGGATTAGTTTCTAACCTCCATGAACTTTTCAACAAAATAGTAGTTGTTAGAATTTAATTAAAATTACCTCCCAAATTAGGAGTGTTTGTTGAAGGAACAATCACTGGTGCTGCTGAAGATGCAGGTGATGTTGAAGGCGCCGGTGACAGAGTAACGTTTCCATAAAAAGGGTACAATTCATATCTAATATTACAGCTAGGAAACAAAACTCTTCCTCCTTGCTTTCCATTACAGCACTGTGGAAGAGCTCCAATGGCATCACTAAGACACGAACTGCAATCTAGTTGAGATAAATCATCTGTACACTGAGCCATACAGTACAGCGTCTGAAATCCAGAGATCCTAGCTTCCTTTGTTGCATATTTCTTAGCACCGACAGAAGAATTCGCAGCTTTATCTGCTGATTCGTTCATAGTAACAGACAACAAACTCATGAAGCTTTCTTGGTTAGTTATATTAGCATTGTTCATTAGGAAAACACCTGGGCTTGTAGCGACGGTGGAGAAAAAAGAGGTGTTGGAGTACCGAACCATGCACTCGTCGTACCAGATAACAGCTTGTTTTGATGAGGAACAATCTGTGTCTGTTGATAGTTTTTGTGTTGCGTTTGCGACGCATTGTTGGCAGAGGGGAGAGGAAACGTCGCCTCTGCACATGAATAGACCGTATGCGGTGTTTGAAGGGTTTTTGCTAGGGATTGTGGTTTTGTAGAATTCGTTGTTGTTGGTGGCGTTGGAAGAGAGTGAAGAGAAAAGGGTTTTGAGTTTTGTGTGGTAGAGGCTGTTGGGGTTGGTTTGGTTTTTTGTGCAGGATTGGTAGAGGTAAGTTGGGTTCTGTGCTTGTGTAGTTGAGTTGATGATGAGGAAGATGAACAGAAATAGAAGGTTGAAGGAATTCATGGTTATGTTTTGTGAAATGAAAATTGTGTAAGGTTTGTGAAGGTTAAAAATGGAGTGGAAAGTCAAGTCAAGTCAACATTGTCTTATGTTATGAATTATGATGCAGTTGAGTCATTCTCATTGATTTTTCTTTACGTGTTGATCACACTGTGTTCAAATTGGTGTGTAGATGTATGAGGAAAGGTCAAAGAGAGTGATGGAAAACTGTGAGGACATGGAAATTTCGGACTGTGAAGTAAGTTTCTACATTTAAAATTGATTTTTGAAGTTTATCAAAAATAAAATTAATTATGATTTTTAAAATTTATATAGCTTTACCCTATAACTAGTTAAATAGATGTGTGTCCTCACAATTTAATACTTTATTAGTTTTAAAATAATTGTTGTTTAAAATTTTTACACATAAATTAAGGAATACAATGTTGTTGTAATAAGACATTACACTTTTACAAAATTAACCATATTAATGTATTAAAAATAGTATAGAGAGTAAAAAGTAAAGACACAATAGTAATTATTATTATATTAAAAAATGAGAATGATAGTCTGTTTACCTCTGATTTTGGTAAACAACGCTGGTCTCTTAACAGAAAGTTTACTGGCGAGATAGACCAGGGAATCTCAATACAATGTTTCAGTTTTCGAGTGTTTTCACAAAGTATGTTCAAAATGGTTCATTCGACTAAGGCGAAACAAATTTAAAAGTAATAAAGCAGGAATTATAAAATAAAACAAAGACGTTTTAAACTGTAAAAATAGATGGCATAACATCAAAATAGTTGAAAATGGATTGATTCAAACATACACCGCCCTTGCTTGACTCATTTTGCTTGTTTGCTTGGGTACTCTAAGTGACTAGCGTGTAGGAATGTTAAAGTTTGAACCCCTTATTTATGATACATGAAAATAACTACTTTTCAGCGGGTTTCGCTTATTTATGAGCCACGTGTTCTTGTAACTTTCCTCCATGGACCTACGTTCTCCATCCCTGCTATCGAACCCACGTTCTTCATTCCTGTTATCGAACCCACGTTCTCCATTCACAACGTTTTTCTTTGCTAGTTATACCCTCTTTAGGGCTTTTTAACACCCCTGGGCCTAATCTATTCCTCGTGAGGCTTTTTTTTCTGGTCAACTGCGTCCACAAGCCTAAATTGGCATTTTATGAAACCTCTTTCGGTCGACTGCTTCTGTGGTCGATTTCCTATAATTCAAAGTCTTCAAAGAACCTTTTTTTGCTTTTGGTTGGATTTTAACCCTTTGTGAAAATCCTAGCCAACAAATTGTCCCCCAAAATATCCTTTTCGACTGAAAGAACAGAAATAGACATTTTAATCCCTTTTTCTTAGTGTGAAGTGATGACATTGTAATCATGACCTTTTCCCTCAAACGTTACATCAGCGATCACACAACCACTTCCCTATTTCCTAGTTTCAACTTCTGAGGATAATCGTGGCCTCCAACTCACCAGCTTCTTCAACTCAGTTACCATCTTTTTGACACGTGTTGGTCGTGTAGTCACAGTTTTTTTCATTTTCTCCCCAACATTTAGTCTCCGTAATGGTATAAATATCCCTTTTATCTCTCTAATTTCCTCTTTTCGTTTCTTTGCATACTCAAGCTTTTTGTCTTCGTACACCACAAAAACTTTCATTTTCATTTTTACCCAAAAAAACTTCCCATCATCTCCATGGCCGCTTCAAGACAAATCTCTGAACACATTCAAACTCCCCATGAAATTGAACTGGTTTCCAACATGAGTGAGTTATTCGTTCATGATCAAAACACTTTTGTCTTAGAACCAATGCCAACACACAATCTCTAAACTTTTCGCTTCCAGTTGTTGCTTCCCTTCATCTGCAACAACACTGCTTACGCTCTATTGGAGCCTATTTCTGATGAGGTTAGGGTACCTAAACGCTTGGAAGGCTGCTTCCCTACTCATAAAACAACCAAACCCCCTATCAATAGAGATTGCCCTATAGATCTTTCACACATCTACCGTACGTCTAAATTCTTCCGTTCTGCCCCTGCTATCAACCAAGATTACATTGCATAGTTGAATAAAGTAGAGAAAGTGAAGAGTGGTGTTTGGAAGGCTCAAGGATTTTTGACTTGATCCAGATTTCTAGGGTTGTCCCTAGTTATTGCAATCACATGTTTATTTCCGCACTCTACTTCTAGGAAGGCTCTACAAACACCTTCCATTTTGCAGTTGAGATGCTTACTCCTACCCTGTTTGACATTACGACCATCACTGGTCTCCGCCCCACTGGTGAAGCGTTTCTTCCCTCTGAAGCAAATGAAAACGTTATTCTTTTTGAAAAGGACATTGCTGGCTTCACCAAATATATGGAGTATTTTCACACCAAAGGTGTAAACACTGTGTCTGATGAAGAACACATTGCCTTCTTGGCCTTGTGGCTTTCCAAGTATGTTTTTTGCAGCCGATCTCTGAAGGTATCTAAATGATTCACCGTGTTTGCTCATCACCTCCATTTAGGTCGACACATATTCCTGAGCGAACTTATTTTAGGGTTGCTCTATGAATCACTCAACGCGGGGGTCGATCATATAACCCCACTTTCATCTACTGCAAGCTATCTACTTGCTGGGCCTTTCTGGATGCTTCAATTGTGGTTAAATACCACTTTTGCGAGCCAGCTCAAATTGTGCCTCTCTGAAGCACAGGAGACTGCATTTTCGCAACATGCCAAGGAAAGCTTTTGTCTTGCTGCAATGACGCCTTCTAACAATGACATGACTCGAGAGGAGTCTCTTGAGAAATACTTGATGTTTTTCTTTGGGTGCACTTATTTTCAGCCAAGCATGACATCCTTTTCCTCTAGACCATATGGTCCTGAGTGTTTCACTCGACCATTTCCTCATGCTGATCCTACGCAGGTCCCTGAATCTAAAGCCATTTGGAAAACTTTCTTAACCCCTGGGCTCATAGCATCTAGGGTAAGAGCTAATGATGGCGTGACACTCCTGTGTTATGAGCTTAATCTGGTGGCTAGACATTTTGGTTTGTGCCAACCTTTGCCTCACAACTTTTATAAGCCATAAGATGAATTATGTCTCTTATCTACCAGCTACGATGAGGGAGAATATGCTCAATGAATTCAACATTTTGCTGCTGATGTCCCCAAGATAACTCATGTCGCCTTCCAACCCCTCTTTTACACCACTAAGGATTTTTATGATTGGTGGACTGTGCACTTAATGGGACTCTCAAGTCCTTCAAATCTCGATTGAACCATGTTTTTGAAGCCATGCAGCAAAAGTTTAGGAAAGGTATGGCTTACTATTGTAATCGTCAGTCACCTTCTTATTTATGTCTTGACTTCTAACGCTTCATCTTATGTTATTGACTTATTCAGCACTTGAGCACAAGAAACACGCCAGGGAAGCCATCAGTGGTGCAGCTTTTTCTCCCTCAGCTAATGAGGCCTTTGGAACTTTTTCTCAGGTAATCTGCTAACTTGATAGTTCACTAGATGTTTGTGTTCTCTTTCTAACCCATTGATTATGTTGACAGGTTTATAGGCCCCTGAAGCTAACATCGTCGTCCCTCCTAAACCGTCCCCAAAGAGATGGAAACACTCTTCTAATGAAGAGAAACAAGCTGACGATGCGTCTTCTCCTTCCATCTCCAAAAAATAAAAAAATTCCCAGTCGACTCGATCCGAGGTTTCCTTAAAAAAGGCCACTTCCGCCACTATGCCTGCTCTGGTGGTAGCAAAAGAACGAGTTTTAAAACTTGTGCCAACTCGACCAGAAAGCATTAAATCTAGTTCTGAAGGAGACCATCAAGTACCTTCTTCTTCAAATACTCTTTATCTTAGAAATCGTTAATCCTTTTGATGATTATGTTCTCACTTTCCTTTATTGTTTTAGCGACTGGCAGTTAAAACTAAAAAATGCCCCACTAAGATTATCTTGAAATCTCCCAAGACCAAAAGGAAACCAATTGTGGTCTTGACTGATAGCGAGCCTTCTGGGAGCGGCCTCAACTCTCCTATCACCCATGGTACTTCTGAGTATTCTCCCATCAGTGAGGGATTGGAGGTCGACACCAATAATGACAGTCTGAGGGAGGGTATTAAAGATGATGGATTAATGGATCCTGAACATGATGTTGTTGTTGATGTCAACACAACTGCCAACCAAAATCCCTTCCAAATGGAAGAAGTGACTCTTCAGGCACCAGCCTTTTTTGGCACCATCTCGACCACTCCCAATGTGATTCCTGCGACCAACACCATGTCGCCCCAACAATTTGTTGCTCTCAGGCAAACCAACCCCTTTGAGTATTTAAAATTTTTGGTGAATGCTAGGAACCATTCGACTAACGGAGGCTCCAGTACTTTTACTGCATCTGGAGGTATCTCTTCTCTTGGGACTCAAGAAGAAGTTCTTAATCATTTAAAAACCATGCTCTTTCATGTTGATTTGATCACCCATTTGGAGGCATATCCCTCTGATGGTATTAAGATTAAAGAAATGCTTAAGAAAGTTGACGTTCAAGCTGCTTCTCCTTTAGTCCTAAAATTCGTGGCTGAAGCGTCTACCTTCCTTGATCAGATTTTGGCCGACTTGGCTGAAAAGAAAGAGATCCAGGAAAGATGCCTTCCCAAGGAGAAAGAGCACACTGTTGAATTGGCTTTTGTGAATTCTTCCACGGCTGCTAGTGAAGAATTGAAGGAAACTCTTGACAAAGAAAGAGAGGACTTTAACACTAGGTCCACACATATTTCCCAATGGAAACAACAGATCATAGTCTCGAAGTAGTTAGAACATAGTTTGATTCTACAACCCTCATAAGAGTTTTGATGATAACAAACACAAAGAACAAATATGCACTCTAAATTTATGTTCTAGTGTGTACAGAAGTTCTGACAGAAGTGGATCAGAAGTTAAGCTACAAAAGTGCTCAAGCTGAGTAAGCATACTGACATCAGAATGTTCTGAAGAATGAAGATCAGAATTTACGCTAA